AAGAAAAAGATGTACAGATAAACAATTTTTTTTTTTTTTGAGACAGAGTTTCACTCTTTTTGCCCAGGCTGGAGTGCAATGGCGTGATCTCGGCTCACCGCAACTTCCGCCTTCCGGGTTCAAGCGATTCTCCTGCCTCAGCCTCCCGAGTAGCTGGGATTACAGGCATGCGCCACCACCCCGGCTAATTTTGTATTTTTAGTAGAGACGGGGTTTCTCCATATTGGTCAGGCTGGTCTTGAACTCCTGACCTTAGGTGATCCACCTGCCTCAGCCTCCCAAAGTGCTGGGATTACAGGCGTGAGCCACTGCGCCCAGCAAGAATTTTTAAATAGACAAAAATTTTTAAAAACCCAGCCTTAATAGTTTGTGACACCACTCTTACTTCAGACACCCACAAGTCACCCACAGACTTTACTCAATATCCTTCCAGTGCTAGAGGCTCCAGAGAATTGAAGTCCCTGAGCAGACCCAAACAAGAGAAAACCCCCTATGTTTAGTTGGCAAGAAGCTGCCTTCAAGGGCCTTTTTTTCTTTTCCAAGTCAATTTCCTGCCACAACCAAAATTTCTATTTTTTTTTTTTTTTTTTTTGAGGTGGAGTTTCGCTCTTGTCGCCCAGACTGGAGTGCAGTGGCGTGATCTTGGCTGGCTCACTGCAACCTCTGCCTCCTGGGTTCAAGTGATTCTCCTGCCTCAGCCCCCCAAGTAGCTGGTATTACAGGCATGCGCCACTATGCCTGGCTAATTTTTGTGTTTTTAGTAGAGACAGGGTTTCACCATGTTGATCAGGCTGGTCTTGTACTCCTGACCTCAGGTGATCCCCCCGCCTCGGCCTCCCAAAGTGCTGGAATTATAGGCATGAGCCACTGTGCCTGGCCTCACAACCCAAATTTCTATTAAATGCAACAAATTCTAGTCTCCTGTTGAGCAAGAAAAATCCACACACTGTAGATGAATGCGTAAGTGTTGCTTGTGCACGCTGAGAGTTATAAAGATGAGATCATCCTTAGCTTTTGTTAAGTGCATTTGGTATTGTGACATGAACCAGAAGTATGCTTCAGTCAATGATTTATAGCAACAATCAAATCCCCGAGACGATGGTTTGGTGTCAGTGTACCTCACTGTGAGTCACTGACTTACTTCATATTTTCTTTAATTCAAGAGCATCCACCTTCAAGGAGTGAGGAGGATTCTGTCTTCTCACAATTCTAGGGAACGAATATCTGAACCAGAATGATTGTGTATCCCATTAACAAAAGCCCTAGAGAACCTGGAATGGCTGGTTCAGCCCTAACTGCTACATCTGACCACAAGTGTGCAATCATCCCAGAGCTGTTTCACCCTTAGCCAGGCATCTGCTAAAAGCTTGGGGAGGCTGGGCGCGGTGGCTCAAGCCTGTAATCCCAGCTCTTTGGGAGGCCGAGGCGGGCGGATCACGAGGTCAGGAGATCGAGACCATCCTGGCTAACACGGTGAAACCCCGTCTCTACTCAAAAAAAAAAAAAATACAAAAAACTAGCCAGGCGACGTGGCGGGCGCCTGTAGTCCCAGCTACTCAGGAGGCTGGGCCAGGAGAATGGCGTGAACCCGGGGGATGGAGCTTGCAGTGAGCCAAGATCGCGCCACTGCACTCCAGCCTAGGAGACAAAGCAAGACTCTGTCTCAAAAAAAAAAAAAAAAAAAAAGCTTGGCGCATCACTTTCTTTCTTTTTCTTGAGACGGAGTTTCACTCTTGTTGCCCAGGCTGGAGTGCAATAATACAGTCTTGGCTCACTGCAACCTCCACCTCCTGTGTTCAAGTGATTCTCCTCCCTCCGCCTCCCAAGTAGCTGGGACTACAGGCACCCACCACCATGCCCAGCTAATTTTTGTATTTTTAGTAGGGACAGGGTTTCACCATGCTGGCCAAGCTGGTCTCAAACTCTTGACCTCAGGTGATCCACCGGCCTCTGCCTCCCAAAATGCTGGAATTATAGACATGAGCCACCGTGCCCAGCCTGGGGCACCACTTTCATAGTGTCCTTCTCAGGATCTTATTGACAGTAAAACTGTACCTCTACAACTGTCCTATTGAATGACTGAAAACTTTTACTATTGAATCCATGGCAGCACCAAACAAATTTATCAAAATGTTTTGGAATACATTCCTTTCTTTGAAGCTAAGTTGATGGCTTGATGCAATTATTGTGGCCATGTACACAACATAGGCTAAATGTTTCCTAGAATTGGCAAAGGATCAAAGGGTTACTTTACTATTCATCATCTTAAACAACACAAGAAAGCCTTATTATTATTATTATTATTATTATTTGAGACAGGGTCCAGCTCTGTCACTCTGTCACTCAGGCTGGAGTGCAGTGGCACAATCTCAGCTTACTGCAACCTCTGCGTCCAGAGGTCAAGTGATCCTCCCACCTCAGCATCCCGAGTAGCTGGGACCACCATGCCCGACTAATTTTTGTATTTTTTGTAGAGATGGTGTCTTGCCACACTGCCCAGGCTGGTCTCGAATTCCTGAGCTCAAGTGATCCGCCCATCTCAGCCTCCCAAAGTACTGGCATTACAGGAGTGAATGCCAGGTCCAAGAAATCCTTTTAAAGTAAAATACCACAGGACGTGGTGGCTCACACCTGTAGTCCCAACACTTTGGGAGGCCGGGGTGGGAGGATCGCTTGAGCCCAGAGTTCCAGAACCTCTCTACCTGCTGCCCCATGCAATACAGCAAGACCTTGTCACTACAAAAAATTTAAACATTAGCTGGTGTGGTGTTATGTGTAGGTCCTAGCTACTAGGAGGCTGAGACAAAAAGATTACCTGAGACTAGGCATTCAAGATTACAGTGAGGTGCTGGGTGCAGTGTCTCACGCCTGTAATCCCAGCAATTTGGGTGGCCGAGGCAGGTGGATCACTTGAGTTCAGGAGTTCGAGACCAGCCTGGGAGGCATGGTGAAACCCCATCTCTACCAAAAATACAAGAAATTAGCCGGGCATGGTGGCTGGAGCCTATGGTCCCAGCTATTCAGGAGGCTGAGGTGGAAGGATCACTTGAACCCAGGAGGTGGGGATTGGGGTGAGCCAAGGTCCTGCCACTGTACTCCAGGCAGGGTGACAGAGTGAGACCCTATCTCTAAAAAATAATAATAATAATTAAAGGTACCAAAAATAAATAATTGATGGTAATGCTAACACAAATTAAATTTAACCTTCAAATTACTTATGAGAAATGTAGTATATCATAAGAAAGTCAATAGTAAGAAATTTCATGTTTGTAGACAGTGTTTTCATGTATTTTAACATTTTGCAAATAGCATGCTAATTGCAAATTCATTTTATTTAATCTTTAATAGTTTATATTGTGAACTCAAGGCATCTTCTATACTTGTCAATAATGAAAAGGCATTTCTCTTTTTAAAAATTCTATTAAGTCAGCCTTCTTATTCCTTAGGAACATGAACCAGCATGGTTTGGTTTTGAATCTGATTGTTCAAACACTTTAGAAAGTAAATAGGAAAATAATTTGGGAACATTATTTAAACTTGTCAATCTATGATTGTTTTTCACGTGACAGCCAATCACAATGTGTTCTCTACTCGGGAAGTTTAGCTCAGTATATGGATTAACACCTGTTCTACTTGTGTGATATTTCTTATGACAACCACAGAAAACATATATGGGGCCGGGCACAGTGGCTCATGTCTGTAATCCCAGAACTTTGGGAGACCAAGGCGGGTGGATCCCTTGAGCCCAAGAATTTGAGACCAGCCTGGGCAGCATGTCAAAACTGCATCTCTACAAAAAATACCAAAATTAGCCAGGCTTGGCAGCACATACCTGTAATCCCAGCTACTCAGGAAGCTGAGGTGGGAGGATCACCTGAGCCGGGGAAGTCAAGGTTGCAGTGAGCCGTGATCATGCCACTGCACTGCAGCCTGGGTGACAGAGTAATACCCTGACAAAAAATAAAAATAAAAATAAAATAAAAATAAAAAAAGAAAGAAAAGAAAAGAACAGAACGGCTGGGCGTGGTGGCTCACACCTGTAATCACAGCACTTTGGGAGGCCGAGGCAGGCAGATCACGAGGTCAGGAGATGGCAGCCATCCTGGCTAACACGGTGAAACCCCGTCTCTACTAAAAATACCAAAAAATTAGCCGGGCGTGGTGGCGGCGCCTGTAGTCACAGCTACTGGGAGGCCAGAGGCTGGAGAATGGTGTGAACCTGGGAGGCGGAGGTTTGCAGTAAAGCCAAGATCACGCCACTGCACTCCAGCCTGGGTGACAGAGCTAGACTCAAAAAAAAAAAAAAACATATTTGATGCAATTTTAAAAGAATATACCTTTGAGATGGAGTCTCACTCTTGTGCCCAGGCTGGAGTGCAATGGCACAATCTGTCCTCACAACCTCTGCCTCCGGGGTTCAAGCGATTCTCCTGCCTCAGCCTCCTGAGTAGCTGGAATTACAGGCGCGCACCACTGTGCCCTGCTAATTTTTTTATTTTCAGTAGAGACAGGAGTTTACGCCATGTTGGCAGGCTGATCTGGAACTACAAAAAAAAAAAAAAAAAAAACATATTTGATGCAATTTTAAAAAGAATATACCTTTGAGATGGAGTCTTGCTCTTGTTGCCCAGGCTGGAGTGCAATGGCACAATCTCGGCTCACTGCAACCTCTGCCTCCTGGGTTCAAGCGATTCTCCTGCCTCAGCCTCCTGAGTAGCTGGAATTACAGGCGCGCACCACTGTGCCCTGCTAATTTTTTTATTTTCAGTAGAGACAGGGTTTCGCCATGTTGGCCAGGCTGATCTGGAACTACTGATCTCAAGTTGTCTGCCTGCCTCGGCCTCCCAAAGTGTTGAGGTTGCAGGCATGAGCCACTGCGCCTGGTCTAGATTTCATTTTTTTCATAAAATGTTCACATTTGTTTGTTTGTGATGTTTTCGGGTGTTAATTTCTTGACCTAATATAAAAACATAAACAAGAGTTCAATCCTTTTTAAATAGTTGTCTGTGCTGTCAATGCCCTCGCCCACCATGTGCTCAACAAGGACCTCAAGGACATTGTTGGTGACTTCAGAGGCTTCTATAGGCAGCTGACGAGTGATGGGCAGCTCAGATGGGTAAGGGACCTATTTCGTAAAATGCTTATATAAGTAATACTACCAAGGTCTGAGATATCCTTTGAGTGCAACAAATGTGAAAACAGAGATGGGTTTATTTGTTTATTTATTTTTTGAGATGGAGTCTCGCTCTGTCGCCCAGGTTGGAGTACAGTGGCACGATCTCAGCTCGCTGCAACCTCCGCCTCCTGGGTTCAGGCAATTCTCCTGCTTCAGCCTCCTGAGTAGCTGGCACTACAGATGCGCACTACCACACCCAGCTAATTTTTATAATTTTAGTAGAGATGGTGTTTGGCCATGTTGGCCAGGCTGGTCTTGAACTCCTGCCCTTGAGTGATTCGCCCTCCTCAGCCTCCCAAAGTGCTGGGATTACAGGCATGAGCCACCACACCCGGCCTAGAGATGGCTTTATAATTTTAAAGTAAAGTATAAGTATAAATTTAAAGTATAAATAAAGTATATAATATAGTATATTATATACTATATATAGTATATATAATATATATATAATTATATATAATATAAAATAAAGTATATAATATAGTGTATATATAGTATATATATAAAGTATAAAATAAAGTATAAATTTAAAGTATAAATAAAAATAAAGTATAAACTTTATTCAGCTAAATTTGGGCTTGAGTCATTTAGATCATCAGTATTTTGAGGTAAACAAGTCATTTCTGTAAGACTGATGATCTAAATGACTCAAGCCCAAATTTAGCTGAATAAAATGTTCTACTAAGGAGATGAGGTCCAGAGATTTGGGTCTTGAGAGCTATCTCTTCTCTAAGGATTGGGTCTTGAGAGCTATCTCTTCTCTAAGGATTGGGTCTTGAGAGCTATCTCTTCTCTAAGGACCTCATCTCATCCTCCCTGAATTGAGAAATGGTTTAGAGGATAAACTACTGAATGGGCAATCTTTTTATGGAGAAATAATGTGAGTAGTATTAGAGATAGAAGAGAAGGTCATTAAAGAGAAAACAGTAACAGAAGAGCAAATTTAAAAAGATGGAAGACCATCGTGCCTTTTATGTGCATAGCTTGGTATTTGAACTGTAAATTCAAGGCATGAGAAAGTTAGACTCTGGAGAAAGGATTCTAACACAGTAAGGTGAATTCAATACCCTGACCTTTGTCTTTGTCCCACGATATCAGATTTTGTCTTTCCCTAACTTGGTTCAGTCTCCCATCCATGCACAGAGAAGGGCACAAGAGAATGTACTTTCAATAGTGCCTGGGATTTCATATTTACTTTATACACAGAATATTAAATTTACCTTGAAAGATGTCACCTTGAAGAAGTTCCCACTGGCTGAATCTGGGACAATTTGAGCATCCAAATAAATATGATAGTAATGGCTTATGACCCATTGAATAAAATCCATGAGTCTATTCAGATAATGAACTATCGGCTGGGCACAGTAGCTCACGCCTGTAATCCTAGCACCTTGGGGCTGAAGCAGGAGGATCCCTTAAGGCCAGGAGTTCAAGACCAGCCTGGGCAGCATAGTGAGACCCCCATCTGTACTTTTTAAAAATAAAAATAATAAAATAAAATTTTTTAAGGAGATAATAAACAACAGGATCAAGCCCACCATTACAGCTGATTAAAATCTAATAAATATAAAAGGAATGATAACATCAGAAAATCACCATAACTGTCATAGCTACAATTAATTGAGGCAAGAGTCATCAAGGGATGCCCAAATTTTGGGACAATAATAACCTCCTTACTTGGAAAATGAAATGGTAACTTCACAGTGGAGAAACCAAATGGACACTAAGTTACCCAAGTGGTAAAAGTTAACAACCCTAATAATAAAACAAATGACATAATCACTTATGTAGTATTTATGCCAAAAAAATGTATTACCTGAATCTAATCATGAAGGAACTGATGATCAGCCCAGATTGAGGGATGCTGTACAAATCAACTGGCCTGTACTCTTTTAAAATGCTAATAACATTTAAAGAAGAAGAAGAAAAATTACTCCAGGTAAAAAGAGACTAAAGAGGCATGACGACTAAATGCAATATGTGATCCCAGATGGGATACGGATTAGGGTCAAATAAAATACATTATAGGAAAAAACCATTTGATTGACATTTGATTATGGACTGGCCTTTAGATAACAGTATTCTATCAATGTGGTATTCCCTGAGTGTGATCATTGTACTATGGTTATGTAAGAAAATATCCTTGTTTTCAGGATCTATACACTGATGTATTTAGGGTAAAAAGAGCATGATATTTGCAACTTTATTCAAATGGTTCAGAAAAAAAGAAGTACGTGTGTGTGTGTTCATATGTATATGTGTATATATATATAGAGAGAGAGAGAGAAGAGAGGAAAACACAGGTGTTTTTCCTACTATTCTTGAAACTCTTCAATGGGTTAGCAACTGTTTGTTTGTTTTTAAACTTAACCTTTAGGTGGGTTGGTGGGTTACTATTGCTGCCTTTTAATTCTTGAGATGTGTCCCTGGATGGAAGACCTAAATATCTTTCTCTTTTTTTTTTTTTTTTTGAGACAGACTTTTGCTCTGTTGCCCAGGCTGGAGTGCAGTGGTGCCATCTCGGCTCACTGCAATCTCCGCCTTCTGGGTTCGAGTGATCCTCTTGCCTCACCCTCTGGAGTAGGGACTACAGGCACACACCACCACACCTGGCTCATTTTTCTATTTTCAGTAGAGACGGGGTTTCACCAGGTTGGCCAGGCTGGTCTTGGTCCCAAAGTCCTGGGATTAGAGGCGCGAGCCATCACACCCAGCCCTCTTTTTCATTTCTAAAGTGCTGTTGTACTTTGCTTCCTAACCAGATTGGTCCAGAGAAGGGCGTGGTGCACCTGGCGACAGCGGCTGTCCTAAATGCGGTGTGGGACTTGTGGGCCAAGCAGGAGGGAAAGGTAACTCCTCTCACAAACGCTTAGGAGGCCCCTGGGAACTGCACCACACTGACTTTCCCTACGCACAGAGGAGAGACAGACACACTGCAGCCCCCAAAAGGAAATACAGAGAATTGCTTTGGCGTTTTTTCCTCCCCTGAGAGGTTTTGGCAGTAGGTAGGGAACTGCAGGAGGAGGAGAAAGAGGGGATGGGATGGCGGAAGGCGCAGGCAGCAGTAGAGGTGGGTGTAGGGACCCGGTGGCTGAGAGCCAGCATTTACTGCCAATGCATTTACTGTCAGGAAAAAAATGGGGACTTTACACATATGTCTTACAAATCCTTTCTTTTTTACTTCAAGCCTGTCTGGAAGTTACTTGTGGACATGGTGAGTAGGATCGTTAATGTTACAATTGTTTCTGTAAATGAAATGGATTTCATGAATGACATGCCTTTTGATGATCAGTAAATATATTCAGGACTATCTGTTGATCACTATGGTGATGATAAAGCAAAAAGCCAATAAAACATGACATTCCTTTTCTGATATCTGATGTAACGGATAGCTGTGCTCATGCAGGCAGTGTGGCATGAGGGGAAGCAGTGAGGGGGTCTTGCCTCCCCACCGTGCATCTGTAACACGCGATGCCAATTCTCTGAGCCTCCGTTGCCTGACTATGACAAGAGGATCATCCTAACTTCTCTAGGAACCTCATAAAATTAAAGATCAATGAGAAAAGTAACTCATAAACTCTGAAAAGCAAGATGTTATGATATTGTGAAGATATTATCTAGGCCAGGCATGGTGGCTCAAGCCTGTAATCCCAGCACTTTGGAAGGCTGAAGGATGGCTTGAGCCCATGAGTTTCAGGCTGCAGTGAGCTGTAATTGCACCACAGCACTCAGGTGACAGAGCAAGACCCTGTCTCAAAAAAAGAAAAAAAGAAAAAATACTATCCAGTCACTATGACACCAAGAGTAAGATGAGGCCATTGTAGCCTCTACTGTACAGTTCCAGCAGGGAAGGAGCTCAACACTGAGTTCTAAAGCTATGCACTTGACTGTTTTCTTTCTCCTTGACCTTTTCATAGCAGGGGTGAGCAACTGGATGCTGAGGTGGAAAAAACTGGGCAAATTAAAGGGGAATGAGCTTCAGACCTGTGCAGAGCTGGCTGTGAGTCCGGGTTTTACTGCTCACCAGCTGCATGACCTTGAGCTTGTGACTTCCCCACTCTGAGCTGCGGTGGCCTCAGTGCAACACCTGGGTGGTGGTTAAAAACCTCGTGATCCACAAATGAAGGCCCTTGTTATTAGTTGGCAAAAAATTAAGGAAAAACAAAGAACACCATGGCCTTGAAGAGTGTTGGGCAGGAGACTACTCCTCCTCTGGTGGAAAGTGGAGACAGGAAGCTGTCACATCGCCTGTCACATGGAGAGTAGCTTCGGGGCCATCCGTAGGGGAAGGACACAGAGCTCTTGAGCCCCCTTCTAGACTCAAGGCCGGCCTTTTACAGTGCTGGAGGAGGTAGCCACCAAAAGGGAATGATTTGCAGGCCACCAGAAATGTGTCTGAGGTCCCACCTGTGGACTCTCCATTTTTGGATCCTGTTCCCTTTCAATGCCAGTACTCTTTTCTTTTCTTTGTTGTTGTTGTTGTTTGTTTGTTTGTTTGTTCATTTGTTTTGAGACGGAGTTTCCTTTTTGTCACCCAGGCTGGAGTGCAGTGGCGTGATCTCAGCTCACTGCAACCTCCGCCTCCCGGGTTCAAGCGATTCTCCTGCCTCAGCCTCCTGAGTAGCTGGGATTACAGGCACCTGCCACCATGCCCAGCTAATTGTTTGTATTTTTAGTAAAGACGGGGTTTCACCATATTGGTCAGGCTGGGCTCAAACTCCTGACCTCAGGTGATCCACCCGTCTCAGCCTCCCAAAGTGCTGGGATTACAGATGTGAGCCACCGCACCTGGCCCAGAACTCTTGGAAGTAGAATCTGAGATTTGAAAGAGCTTTTAGGATTTTCGACAGTTGTGGTAGAGTATCACTGGTCTCTACCACATATAAGATGTTAGTGGGAATGGAACTACTGGCTGTTTTCCAACTGACTCTTCCGTCAGGGTGGGGAGAGGTCTCAGCACGAATCCCCAGCCTCGTAGCTCACCGTGGACAGCCCTGCGGTGTGAAGCTGATGTACAGTGATGCCAGGCATTCATCTCCCCGCCGAGCTCCTGCTGAGTGTTTGCCTGGGGCCCTGCCCTCCTTCCAGGAAGCCATGTTAGCTGGAAAGAACAGGGTAGGGGCGGGTGGCAAGGGATCAGAGCGTCAGTGTCTGAGGGCTTTGTCGGGGCAGTGAGGAGCCACTAAAGGACTCTACACTTAGGAATGACAGAGTCAAACAATTTAACAAAGCCCTAAAGGTCCCTGCCAGGAAAGAATGAGCCCCATGTATCACCATAAGCAACTTCTTAGAAACATAACCCGCCCCTGTCATCCCAGCACTTTGGGAGGCCGAGGAGGGAGGATTGCTTGAAGCCAGGAGCTCAAGATCAACCTGGTCAACATAGTGAGACCCCATCTCTACAAAAATAAAAATAAATTAGCCAGGCATAGTGGCACACACCTGGAGTTCCAGCTACTCAGTCCCAGGAGGCTGAGGCAGGAGGATCACATAAGCCCAGGAGACTGAGGCTGCAGTCAGCTATGATGACATCACTGCACTCCAGCCTGGCCAACAGAGTGAGACCTTGTCTCTAAAAAAAGCATAATAAATAATTTTTTTAAAACAAAATATAACCCACCTTAGAATTGATTCAGGCCTCTTCCCCTCCTATCACGTTGCCAGGATCCCAGGACGCTGGTGTCCTGCATAGATTTCAGGTACATCACCGATGTCCTGACTGAAGAGGATGCCCTAGGTGAGTCTGGAAGCTTTCTCGGGTACACAATGTGCACATACAGTAGTGGCATGCTTTGTTGCCTAAAAGAGTGAGTGATGCTTTTTATTTCTTCCAGAAATACTGCAGAAAGGTCAAGTTGGTAAAAAAGAAAGAGGTGGGTTGTAAGAAATTTTTCTTCATTGTTTTTGCTAACATTGTCCACTTTTGAGTGCCGCTGTCCTTTTGGGGGACACATTGTCCTCCCAAATGCCCCATGCTGAGTAGCTAGGCCCTCAAATCAACATTCAGGTCTGCATGGTGAAGCCTCCTGGGTATGACCTCTGACTGCAGAGTTTGCTTCAGCCACTGCTGAAAGGAAGTTTGGCTTTAGGATTACACTGTAGGGAGGGCCCTTGGGGAGCAGGGCAATCTGTGAGGGTATCGTGACCACCTGGGTTTCACATCCTAGTAATTTGTGCCTGGGTGTGTATAAAAGGCCAGGTCAGGAGAACAGCTGGACTCTCCAGGGCAAACAGCTTAGCTACAGGCACTTCCAATTCTGAAGGGCAAAGTGTTGACGGTGCTGTGTTTTCACAGAGAAGCAAATGCTGGCACAAGGCTACCCTGCTTACACCACCTCGTGCGCCTGGCTGGGGTACTCAGATGACACGTTGAAGCAGGTGGGCATTTTAACCTGGCTTTGTAAACAGGCTGAATGGGGAGAAACCAACCTGTTTTTCCTTCTGTGCTCACACCACTGCTCTCAATACCTCGCTTCTGACACCAGACCTGTATGGTTTTCCTTCTCACGCCAGCCAGTTTTCCGCTTCTTTGTGGACACCACCTGGGTGTCCTGCTATTTTACTCAATTGTGACACCATCTCCCTGGAGCTAGCCTCAGACCCTGTAGGTTAAGGGCTCAGTCTTGGAGGACTGGCCCATGGCAGATGCCAATCACAAGTCCACGTTGTCTTCTGTGCTTCTGACTGGCTTTGCCTCCGATTAGAGGTTCCCACAAACCCCGCTTTGAGTTCAGTCATTTGGTGGAATGGCTCATGGAATTCAGGGAAACACTACTTATGTTTACTCATTTATTATAAAGGATACAACTTAAGAACAGCCAAACTGAAGAGACATGTAGGGCAAGGTGTGAGGAGTGGGTGCAGAGCTTCCATGTCCCCTCCAGGTGAGCCACGCCCCCACCACCTCCACGTGTTCACCAACCTGGAAGCTCTCTGAACCCTGTCCCTTGGGGGTTTTATGGAGGCTTCAATATTTAAGTGTGATTCAGTATTTGGCCATTGGCCATCAATTCAACCTTTAGCCCCCTCCCCTCCCCAGAGATCTGGGAATAGGCTAAAGTTTCCAACCCACAATCATGCCTTTCAGGTCTTTCTTGTCCCCAGCCCCATCCTGAAGCTACACAGGGGACCTCAGCAGGGCTGTCTCATTCACATACAAAAGACACTCCTGTCACTCAGGAGATGCCAAGGGTTTTAGGGGCTGTGTGCTAGGAAATAGGGGAGCAGCAATGGGGGCAGAGACCAAATATATATTCCTTCTCATGTCACATGGGCTTTAGATTCCAGCCTCTCCGGGAGAAATTTAATATTTTCTTGTTCACCTTTCTGAATCATTTTGGCTGAGGGCGGTGGCTCATGCCTGTAATGCCAGCATTTTGGGAGGCTAAGGTGGGTGGATCACCTGAGGTCAGAAGTTCAAAACCAGCCTGGCCAACATGGTGAAACCCTGTCTCTACTAAAAATACAAAAAATTAGCTGGGCGTGGTAACGTGCATCTGTAGTCCCAGCTACTCAGGAGGCTGAGGCAGGAGAATCACTTGAACCTGGGAGGCAGTGGTTACAATGAGCCGAGATCACACCACTGCACTCCAACCTGGGTGACAGAGCGAGACTCCATCTCAAAAAACAACAAAAAAAAGTATTTTTTCTCGTTCTGAAAGTACACAAGCAAATGCAAAGTCATTCACCTTTTGGACCCTGGGACTCTGTGACTTAGTGAATCACCTTGGGCTCTGGAAGGTGACAGCCTAGGGTATGATTCCCAGGCAGCACCAGCGGCAGACCCACTGCAAGATGGAGAAATAATGCCTATTTCATGCGGTGGTTTTGAGGATTCAGATACATGCTGTAAGTTGTGTCATGCTCAAGGCCTCCTGGCTGGCACACGGCATGCAGTCGGCACGTGGTTGATTTATTACTGTTTCTCCTTACGCTGTGCCCACTTTTAGAGAGTGAGGAGAGAGGGGCTGGCTTCTGCACGTTACTCTTACATCGTTCTGTGGATGCCACAGAATATTCTAGCTTTAAAAAGAGAAAGATCAATGCTATATTCTCCTTCCAGGAAGGTTGTGACCATTAAAAAAATGGTTCCCATAGAGATGAGGAGAGAAAGTCACCCTACAAGTAAAAAGTGATCTCTGTCAGCCAAGCTGTTTCTGCTGTTAATTTCAACAACACATGAGTGTTACTCTGGTCTATGCTATAACCGTAATGCTTGTGAAATGGACCAGCAATGACTAATGTCCTGGTCAGACCAAGGGGCTCTCTCCAGTGTGTGACCCTGTGCTCCTTTCCCACAGCTCTGTGCCCAGGCGCTGAAGGACGGCTGGACCAGGTGAGTGTGATGAGGGACCTGACTTGCCCAGTTGGCGGCAGGAGAGACTCAGGCAGTGGAGGGGAGCCAAGGAGTAAAAGGCACGCACGGGCTAGGATCACTGTGGCTCATAGGGATGCGTAAGAGAAGTTTCCCCTTAGGCCAGGCTCTTTCTCTAAAGGCAGGATGTGTGTCCTCATTAGAATTCTAGGACATCAGAGTGGAAAGAGGCTTGGGAGATTTTGATTTCAGGCACTAACCTAGAATAGAAATCCAGTCTTTTCCATCAGTAAATAGCGTTGATTCAGCTTCTGCATGAACATCTCCAGAGGCAGCGAGCTTAACTTGGTTAGGCACTTTCCATTCTTTGAGGGCTCTAAGTATTAGGCGGGTCTTTTCTTCTCTTTTGAGACAACGTTTCACTCTCGTCACCCAGGCTGGAGTGAGTGGCGCAGTCTCTGCTCACTGCAACCTCCACCTCCCAGGTTCAAGCCACTCTTCTGCCTCAGCCTCCTGAGTAGCTGGGATTACAGGCACCCGCCACCACACGTGGCTAAATTTTGTATTTGTAATAGAGACAAGCTTTTGCCATGTTGATGAGGCTGGTCCTGAACCCCTGACCTCAGGTGATCCTCCTGCCTCAGCCTCCCAAAGTGCTGGGATTACAGGTGTGAGCCACCGCACCCAGCCAGGTGGGTCTTTGATGTCAGGAACCCTTTGCTTCCATGTAATGTCCAGCCAGAGGTCCCAGTTCCCAAGAGCCAGGCTGTTCCTCTTCCGCTTGAAGTGACAGCCCTCCTCTCCCTCTAGGCCACCTCCTTTCCACACTGCTCATCTGCACTTCTCCCTTCTGACTCTTGCCTGTGCAGGTAAAGACCTCTGGCCATCCTAAGACCTTCTCTGGATAAAAGCCTCGATGGTTGATGACCCTGCGTCCTGACACAGGGCAGGATGCAGAGGGACCGTCATCTCTCTTGACCCAGTCACTGTGCGTCCCTCAGCGCAGCTCATGGTGGCACTTTTTGCCTGTGACATGTCACCAGGCTTCCTATCTGACTTGCAGCCACTCTGGCCCCTGAGCCTCCTGCTACTCAGTGTATCCTGTGGAGCAGGAGCTCCAGCGTCACCTGGGAGCTTGTCAGAAATGCAGCCTGGGCCTCTCCCCAGACCCGCTGCATGGGAATCTGCATTGGAACAAAAGCCCCGAGTGATTCCTGTGCACACTTAAGTTGGAGAGGCACTGAATTCTTGTTAATGCCTCAGCTAAATAAAGAGTTGAGGAGTGAGAGCTTGAACGAGGCAGCATGAAGCCATGGAAAGAGGTGGTGGCATCTGATGGAACTGAAATCACATCTTGCCTTTTCCCCTCACCCCCTGCAAGTACTTGCTGTGTGGTCATGAGTAAATTGCTCAGCCTCTCTGAACTTCATTTTCTGTCTATCAGTAGAAATAATATGAGCTTGGGTCCTCCTCAAAGTTGCCGTATCTCAGAAGGACCAGCACAGGGCAGGATTCAGAGCAGCTGCTGTAAGTGCTGGCTGCTTGCCCTCCCTCTACATACCCCGGGGAGGCTGCAGCAACAGAGAAGGCTGTGGGGAGATTTAAAGGGCCTCTTCTCAGCACAGGAAGCCTGGCACCCAGAGCCTAAGGCCAGCCACCCTCTCTGGAGCATCACGGATCATGTAGTTGAAGCCCCTAGCTGGTACAGAAGAGAACGGCAGGTGCCTGAGAGTGTGTGGCAGGCACTCTGTAAGCTGGGGCTCTTTGCAAAGCAGCAGGAGGACCTCAGCCAGCGAGGTGCACAAGGAGGATAGGCTGGTGTTCAAGGGGGCAGATGCTGGCCGCCTCGTGGTGGTGTCCCCTCCTTCAACTGCCAGTGCCCACACTGAAGCCAGCAACACACCCTTCTGACAGCAGCGTCACGGGGTGTGGACGTAGAGGCCCGTGTCTCGAGAGAATAGCTGGACATCCACACAGATTAAGGAGCTCCCTATAAGTGTCTGGATGTGGTGTAAAGGAGACCTCTGCACGCAGGATCCAGCTGCACTTTGCTATTCCCTAGTTACATGACCATCGTTTTCCCTGCCGGAACCTCAGGCCCCTGCACTGCAGGGGACAGACCATCCCTGTGGCCTTCCTCTCACTGAGTTAATTCAAGACAGAGTTCTCCTTGGTAAACCAGACCCTTCCCATTCAGGCTATCAGAGGGTAGCTCAGCACCCCTTGTCAGCCCCGCTCTCCTTTTCAGTTCTCACTGTGGCTTTTTTGTTCTTAATTCCTTTTCATGGCACAGCAAAAACTGAGGTAATTGTATTAAAGACCTGACTTTTGCTGGGCGCGGTGGCTCAAGCCTGTAATCCCAACACTTTGGGAGGCCGAGACGGGTGGATCACGAGGTCAGGAGATCGAGACCATCCTGGCTAACACGGTGAAACCCCGTCTCTACTAAAAATACAAAAATTAGCAGGGCATGGTGGCGGGCACCTGTAGTCCCAGCTACACGGGGGGCTGAGGCAGGAGAATGGCGTGAACCCGGGAGGCGGAGCTTGCAGTGAGTGGAGATCACGCCACTGCACTCCAGCCTGGGCAACAGAGTGAGACTCCGTCTCAAAAAAAAAAAAAAAAAAAAAAAGACCTGACTTCTTTGTTTAGCCTCTTAACTCCAGGTCAATAGATATTGAGAGTCATTGCCCTGATACTGAATGAAGAGATAAAGTTCACAGGTTTATTTCAACTGACTTATCTGAAGATGAGGAAAGAGCAAGAGGTTACTAGAAAACATGATCTGTGAATTGTTGACAGAAAGACGGTCACTTCTGCAGAAACCCCAGGTGCCCTTGCCAAGTCCAGGTACAGGTCTAAACTAGCAAACCAAATACATTTTCTAGGTTTAAAGTAAAGGTGGGTGCTGATCTCCAGGATGACGTGCGAAGATGCCAAATCATCCGAGACATGATTGGACCAGAGAAGACTTTGGTAAATATCCTCTCACACCACTGAGAAGCAGCGGACTTTGTCCAGGACTAAATGCAACTCGTTTCAAGATTAAAGAACATTGGGAATTTAAAAACGTAATTGTCAGAGGAAGTACAGTTCTATAGTCTTGCAGTAGGCAAACTCAAAAAAAAAAAAAACCGAAGGGACTAATAGTTTTACATTTTTTAATTCTGCAGAACTAGTTAAGTAAGTTTGGGGTTAAGGATCCTTTCTTGCTAACACAGATGCACCTGAGCAAAGTTTTCCCATTGGTGCTTTCGTGTGTCAATCATTTAATCTCCCCTCCCAGCTCCTCAGGTAGGAGGGTGTCAGGGCCATTACTGAAGAAATGTTGGAACTTTACTGAGATAAATGTAAGGATCAGTCATTTCTGATTTGTATTTTTATAAACCAGTTCTTATGTGTAAAATATTTTCATAAAAGAAAGACAGTAAGATGTTTTTATGAGGCTTCAGAGGCTTTTTTGCATAAGTTAAAATAGAAATTTTGAGTTCTTAACCCAGGATCACTATTTATATATGAATTAATGCTGTTTTTTTTTTTTAATGAGGTCATCTTTATCCAAATAACTTGTGATAAAAATTGATTCTGGGCTGGCCAGACGCTGTGGCTCATGCCTGTAATCCTAGCACTTTCGGATGCCTAGGTGAGCGGATTGCCAGAGCTCAGGAGTATGAGATCAGCCGGGCAACATGGAAAAACCCCATCTGTACCAAAAAATAAAAGAAAAAAAATTGGTTCTGGGCCAAACACAGTGGCTCATGCCTATCATCCTGACACTTTGGGAGGCTAAAGCAGGTGGATCACTGGAGGCCAGGAGTTTGAGACCAGCCTGGTCTACATAGTGAGACTCCATCTCTAAAAGAAAGAAGAAAAAAAATTAACCGGGTGTGGTGGTGCATGTCTGTAATCCCTCCTACTTTGAAAGACGAGGCAAGAGGATCACTGAGCTCAGGGTTGGAGGCTGCAGTGAGCTACAATAATACCACTGCACTCCAGCATGGGCAACAGAGTGAGATCTAGTCTCTTAAAAAAAAAAAAAAATTCATTCTAGGCATACTGTCCTCTGGTTTTCTTTTTTTTTTTTTTTTTTTGAGACGGAGTCTCGCTCTGTCGCCCAGGCTGGAGTGCAGTGGCGCAATCTCGGCTCACTGCAAGCTCCGCCTCCCGGGTTCACGCCATTCTCCTACCTCAGCCTCCCCAGTAGCTGGGACTACAGGCGCCCGCCACTGCGCCCGGCTAATTTTTTTCTATTTTTTAGTAGAGACGGGGTTTCACCATGGTCTCGATCTCCTGACCTTGTGATCCGCCCGCCTCGGCCTCCCAAAGTGCTGGGATTACAGGCGTGAGCCACCGCGCCCGGCCGTCCTCTGGTTTTCATAGTGTCCTGGGAGGGAGCTCTTATCACTTAGCACATTCTATGGAGATATCCGTTTCTCCAAGCATGATAAGATCAGGGATGAGGGGCTGTCCCTTAAGCTGGGCACAGCCAGCACCTGGCTTCCAAGAAGGATAGTGGTACACAGAGAGCCAGGGCCTAGGAGGGAGAGGACTGGACTTGAACTCACCATTCACTTGATTTACTGTTCTTAAGCAAGTCTTAATTTCTCTGCATGACAGTTTTCTTATTTGTAAAATGGGTTAATATGAACTGCCTCATGGGGTTATTATTTTTTGAGATAGGGTCTCAGTCACCCAGGCTAGAGTACAGTGGCATGATCACAGCTCACTGCAGCCTTGACCTCTCCTGGCTCAGGGGATCCTCCCATCTCAGCCCCCTGAGTAGCTGGGACTACAAGTGAGAACCACCACACCCAGCTAATTTTTGTATTTTTTGTAGAGACAGGGTTTTGCTATGTTGCCCAGGCTGGTCTTGAACTCCTGGGCTCAAGAAATCCACAGGCTCAGCTGGGTGCGGTGGCTCACGCCTGTAATCCCAGCACTTTGGGAGGCCGAGGAGGGTGGATCACAAGGTCAGAAGATCGAGACCATCCTGGCTAACGTGGTGAAACCCCGTCTCTACTAAAAATACAAAAAAATTAGCCAGGCATGATGGCAGGCAACTGTAGTCCCAGCTACTCAGGAGGCTGAGGCAGGAGAATGGCATGAACCTGGGAGGTGGAGGTTGCAGTGAGCCGAGATCACGCCACTGCACTCCAGCCTGGGCAACAGAGCAAGACTCCATCTCAAAAAAAAAAAAGAAAAAAGAAAATAAATCCACGGGCTTCAGCCTCCCAAAGTGTTGAGATTACAGGCATGAGCCACCATGCCCGGCCCATTATTATAAATATTAAATGGAACAAAATCCATAAAGTGCCTAGTGGAGAAGGTGTGCCATTATGGAAGAGTTTAGGCTGTTTATTATTGTGCCAGACACATAGTGGGCAATAGTCAATAAATGACCATTGAACAAACTTAATGTTGATTGTGCACGATTCAGAATGTGACAAAATGGTTTCTACAAACAGAACCAACACTGTAAGACACATGTATTTGGGTGGCATCTAAATGGAGATTGGACCAGAGCCCAGGGCCAGCGAGCATTTCTCATGGCCCAGCCCAGAGCACTGCCGGACCTCCCAGCGGCTCCTCGAGCAATTCACAGCTCCTCCTAAAGACTGTCCCTGGAGCCAGAGTCCCCGTCTCAGTGGCTGCTCTCGGACTCTTTTTGTTAGGGCTGTGTGCTGGGCCTCAGCGGAGGTGTTAGGGAGTCTCACTCGGCTGTTGGTAGCACTGAGTGACAGCATTTCTTCCCTGGGAGCCACAGCCCTGCCACGAGGTTGGCTCAGAGCAGACTTCCCTGTGAAGAGTCTCTTTTTGCAGATGATGGATGCCAACCAGCGCTGGGATGTGCCTGAGGCAGTGGAGTGGATGTCTAAGCTGGCCAAGTTCAAGCCATTGTGGATCGAGGAGCCAACCTCCCCTGATGACATTCTGGGGCATGCTGCCATCTCCAAGGTAGGAAAACGGCGGCTGCTGCTGGGGCACCTTATTTTTTGTTTAGTTTCCCAGAGTGCTGGGGACGGGTCCTAAAATTTCTTCACTTGTTCCCTCTTGCATTTATTTCCTGATGAAGTAGCTGAAATAATTGTAGTGTGTGACAAATACTTTCCGAGGAATCATTCCACAACAGGAATCTCAGCTGATGAGCCCCTGGGAAACAAGACTTTTCACCTTGGGTCCCACTTGCTTTTTCCTCCTTAGGGCTCTTGCAGGGTGGCTGTGCCCTGCTGAATGCCAGCTGGCCTAGCACCAACCTGATCTCTGCCCAACTGAGCATCTCCCAGGAAGCTGCTCTGGGCTTTAACCCTCCCAGGTTTTGCTTACAGGAGGGAGGCCATCCCCTTAGGAGCATCTGAGGAAGGAGCAGCTGCACAGCCTGCAGGTCCAGGTGGGGGCAATGGAGATGCCCCAGGGAGTGCAGGGCACACGCCGGGGAGCTGTCAGACAGGCTGCCACGTGGGGCTGGATTATGGGGTCTGTCCACTCAGAGGATGCAGCCAGTCAGAGAAAGCCACTGCAGCTTCTCCAATGAAAGAACGGCATAGTGGCCGGACATGGTGGCTCACACCTGTAACCTCAGCACTTCGGGAGACCGAGGTGGGTGGATCACCTGAGGTCAGGAGTTCAAGACCAGCCTGGCCAACATGGTGAAACCCCATCTCTACTAAAAATACAAAAATTAGCTGGTTTCGATCTCCTGACCTCATGATCCACCTGCCTGTAGTCCCGGCTACTCAGAGAGGCTGAGGCAGAATGACGTGAGCCCGGGAGGCGGAGCTTGCAGTGAGCCGAGATCGTGCCACTGCACTCCAGCCTGGGCAACAGAGTGAGACTCCGTCTCAAAAAAAAAAAAAAAATTAGCTGGGCACAGTGGTGTGTGCCTGTAAATCCCAGCTACTCAGGAGGCTGAGGCAGGAGAATGGCTTGAGCATGGGAGGTAGAGGTTGCCATGAGCCGAGATTGCACCATTGCACTCCAGCCTAGGTGACAGAGCAACACTCTGTCTCAAAAAAAAAAAAAAAAAAAAAAAAAAATAGCATAGTGACAGCTGGAGCACAGATGATGTGACTGGTGGCTACATTAGAGTCCACTGAGACAGAGGGTGTGTGGGAGGTGAGGAACGGGCAGGGAGAAACCCAGGCAGGGATGGGAGTGAGGAGGCTTTTCCAGGCATCTGGGAGACATAAAGGGAGAGGGCAGCTTGAATAGAGCAGATTCAGGAAATATTGAAAAGGAAGAAAAACATTTGGCCCCTAGTCTGATATATATGCTTAAAATGGTAGAACAAATAAGTCAAATGGCCTTTCTTCCTCCCCCGTCCTCCGTTTCTCCCTTTCTCTTCTCTTTTGAGATAAAGAACCAAGAGTACTTAAATTAGAAATTTTAAGAAGCATAAAACGTTAGCTTGAAACGGTGCCTTAGAGACCATCTGCTCAAACTAAGACCTTCTGCAGATGAGAAGGCCGAGGCCTTGGGTGGCACAGGCGGGGCTTGCCCAAGGCCACACATCCCATGAGACTCAGGGCCAGCACTGGAATCAGGGATAGTTGGCTGCTGAATGAAGGGATTTTTCTGCTGAGTAGTTGGCTGATTCAGATGCCTCCTCTGGCTCTGGGATCAGTGGAGTTCCAACCCAGGCTCTACCACTTTCTAGCTTTGTGATCCAGGAACAGTTCAAACCCGGCACACCTGTTTTCTCATTTTCTATAAAATGGGGATAACGATGGCTTCTCTCCCATGGGATTGAGACCAGGAATCATTGAAGACAGTGTTTTGCACAGCGCCTGGCAGGTACTCAGAGCTCCAAAAATGTGAGCTATTAGTGTGATTGCTTTATCCTAAACAAAGGGAAGGGAAACCAGGGAGAAACCAAGGATGCCTTCGCAGAGTAGCTGTGGAGTCGCAGTCCCAGTAGAGGATGGACGGACTGCCCAGAGGCCAGGTGGCAGGTGAGTGAGGTAGTGTTCAGGGACCAGGTGAGAGGACAGAGAGCAGCAGGGCTGTGTTCAGGTGCACAGTCCAGTACCTCACCAGGTGAGGAGTCTACCAGGTGAGCAGTGGTCTCAGCCTAACCTGCAGATTGAGGTCTAAGGCCACCCACTGAGCTGGAAGGAAGAGGAATTTTTTTTTTTTTAGTTTTTTTTCACGGATTTTTCCTGCCTTAAGGAAGAGGATTTTGGAATCAACAAAGACACGAGGCCAGGTGTAGTGGCTCACATCTGTAATCCCAACACTTTGGGAAGCTGAGACAGGAGGATCATCTGAGGTCAGGAGTTTGAGACCAGACTGGCCAACATGGCAAAACCCCAACTCTGTTAAAAATACAAAAATTAGCCGGGCGTGGTGGCATGCACCTGTAATCCCAGCTAACTGGGAGGCTGAGGCGGGCGGATCACGAGGTCAGGAGATCGAGACCATCCTGGCTAACACAGTGAAACTCCGTCTCTACTAAAAATACAAAAAAAATTAGCCGGGCGTGGCGGGTGCCTGTAGTCCCAGCTACTCGGGAGGCTGAGGCAGGAGAATGGCGTGAACCCGGGAGGCGGAGCTTGCAGCGAGCCGAGGTGGCGCCACTGTACTCCAGCCTGGGCTACAGAGCGAGACTCTGTCTCAAAAAAAAAAAATTAGCCAGCATGGTGGCATGCACCTGTAATCCCAGCTACCTGGGAGGCTGAGGCACAAGAATCTCTTCAGCCTGGGAGGCAGACGTTGCAGTGAACCAGGATCATGCCACTGCACTCCAGCTTGGGTGACAGAGCAAGACTTTGTCTCAAAAAAAAAAAAAAAAAAGATATGAGAGGGTTCTAGAAGGAGGTTTCTCAGGGAGGCAAGAAGGGAAATGACAGAGTGATGACCCACAGGAAGGAGTCGGCCAAAGGTTGGACCCTGTGAGTTCACAATGAGCCACTCCGAGTGGCCCTGTCCTTATGCCACTGCGCAGGCTGCAGAAGGAGGTGCCGTCCACGTTGGGAGGAGCACAGCTGGAGCATGGGCCAGGACACTGCAGAAGGGCATCTGCAGAGCCCTGGTCAGGAACAGGGCTGGTGGTGGCAGCTCAGCAGGGCTCACGTTCTCCTCTGCAGATGCACAGAGCCCTCCTGCAGGCATGTGTTCCCCTGGACATCCTTTGCCAGTCTTGAGTCTTCACATGGCTCAACAGCAGGACTGTTTCCTCCTTCAACTATAAATGTTTTTAAACATTAGGAGTTGCAGTTCAAAACTTAGGAAAATAACACCAGGCTGCCTTCTATTTTATAGGCACTCGTCCCATTAGGAATTGGCATTGCCACAGGAGAACAGGTGAGTGACGCCCCCAACAGGTGAGTGACGTCCCCTTGGGGTCAGTACACGCTGACCAGCGACCAAGAACACAGTCGTGTGTTAGGCTCCATCACCTGCTGTACTTTCAGTTGGGAAATTTTCATCATCTTAGAAACTGGGTCATTTTATCAGTCTAGTCAGATATAGAAAAAGTTTGTGGCTATTTCTCCAATTTATATGACTAAGGTCAGTTATCTTTTTCAAAGGGTCTAATTGAAATTGACAAGGCAGCAATTTAAAGTTGCTATTGCAAGGGCAGAAAATGGTGTTAAGAAAGCCAGCTTTCAAATTGAATAAACATGACTGCGTTCACTTTTTGAGCTTATAAATGAAGCCCAAGTGCCTGCCAAAACCTGCTGCAGTCAGCCCACGAGCAGAGCAGCGTGACGAGCAGATTCTCTTTTCCCGGCAAAAGGAGCAATACTGCTCTGCCGCGGTTCCGCGTTGTCGTCTGTGCCACCTGCTCATCACTGTCACCGTATTTCATCCTGATGCTTCAGCTCATCTCCCACTTATCAGTCGCTGTGACAGTCATTCCCTCATAAATGGTGAGCCAGTGTGATTTTACCCTGACTCACACTGTTGCATTAGCAGATTTGTAAAGAAGTGAGCACAAGGTCCCTGCCCACACTAGAAAAACGTGCCTCATGCCCGGCGAGAACAGACAAAATACAGTCTGGGCTTCCCGAAGGCCACTGATGAGTAATGATTGGCATAGAGAGGCCGCGTTGCCAGGTTTTAGAGATCCTGAGGGCCAAGGCTGACTCTTCTGTTGGTGTTATGTTCAATTCTATTTCCAGTGCCACAACAGAGTGATATTTAAGCAACTCCTACAGGCGAAGGCCCTGCAGTTCCTCCAGATTGACAGTTGCAGACTGGGCAGTGTCAATGAGAACCTCTCAGTATTGCTGATGGCCAAAAAGTTTGAAAGTAAGGGTGCTGCAGTGGCTGCAGACCAGACCTTCATTTCCCCACTAATCAGACACCTCCCTTGATGGCTTGCAGTTCACACGCGCAGGAGTCTCCAGTTTGCCATTTTGATTTCTTCTAACTCATTTAGCCTTAATCTGGGAATTATTGATGATTTTCATCTTGGAATTTCATCCCTAAATATTAATGAATGATTTAATCACCTGTGGGCAATAAGAAAAACCAGAAAGTTCCCTTTGACCCCTTCCTCTCCCTGCCCTACTCTTGGTATTAAATAGAAACAATTTCCTTTTAGTTCCTGTTTGCCCCCATGCTGGTGGAGTTGGCCTCTGTGAACTGGTGCAGCACTTGATTATATTTGACTACATATCAGTCTCTGCATGCCTTAAAAACAGGTCAGTAATGTGGGATTAATACTTTCTGCTTCAGTAGGGTCCCTCAGTCTAGGCCAGAACTTGTAAATTCTACCTTCATGACCAAAAGACACCAAGACCTTGTCCACTGGCCTGTCCTGTAACTCTCAGGCAGAGTTGGTTCTGCTTCCACTTCTCCACACGGGGCAGTAACAGCAGAGACCCACCAACGAACAGTCATTTTGCCTCCTAGGATAGGGTCTGGTAGCTGACTCACTTTATTTTTTAAGTACATTGAAGGTGAGGCTTGCAACCACACTACTCCCTTAACCAGCTCCTGTTTTCATCACGTGTATTCTGTACTTCTGTCCCATCTCCTCTTCCCAGTACTGGAGTCTTCCATGGTGTAGACATACATTTATTTCATCTTATTTCTCAGAATGCCCCAGTTGGTCTTTTAAATTAGGACAATCTCCTTCCAGTCATCTGCACACATAGGGTTTTGCTTATTACACTTTTCTTGTCTCCTGGAATTAAATGTCCCACAGAAAGATGACTGCAAGTATATAGCAAAGGCAAAAAAGCATTCACTGGGAAAGGGAAACGCCAAATTCAGGACTGTGAGAGATAAATGGGACCCTTGAGGGTACATAGGAGGCTTCAGTAATAATGGTAACCGTTTCTCTCTTCAGGGCGGTAGTGAGTAGACAGGTGCTGTCTTTTAATATAGCAGAACTATTTTATACTGTGTTAGTCTATTCTTGCACTGCTATAAAGAAATACCTGAGACTGGGTAATTTAGAAAGAAAAGAGATTTAATTGGCTTACAGTTCTGCAGGCTGCACGGGAAGCATAGCGGCTTCTGCTCAGCTTCTGGAAACTTGCAATCATGGTGGAAGGCAAAGGGGGAACAAGCACTTCTTATGGCAAAGAGCAGGAGGAGAGAGAGTGAGGGGGGAAGATGCTACACGCTTTTAAACAACAGATCTTGTGATAACTATCTCGAGAATAGCACCAAGGAAAGGGTACCAAACTGTTCTTGAAGGACCACTTCCCATGATCCAATCACCTCCCAGCAGGCCTCGCCGCCAACACTGGGGATTCCAGTTCAACGTGAGATGTGGGCAGGGACACAAATCCAAACCATATCAGCCTGCCTGTCACAGCTGTTCAGTAACAGGTGATGGAAGTCAGGCAGCAGATCTCGGTCGCTGGCCCCAAGGCTCAGAACTACAAAGTGGCTGACACAGAACCTGAACACAGATTGCCCTGATTCTAAATCCTCTGCTCTTCATCTAAATCATTTGTATAGCTGAAAGGAACCTCATTTGGTGATTTTATTTTTTGGGTGGAGAGTATGGAATGTATTTTATTGTTCTGCATCTGGGTTTGGTTCCCTAGATGTCTCGGTTCTTGGATGGAGGTGGGTGTGTCCCATGGACCTGTTCGGATTGTTTTCCAGGTGCAAAGTCCACAGTGTTAATGCTTCCTAGATGCCCAGCTGAGGCAGTGACAAAATGGCCCTCCCAACCCTGCCTGCCAAAAAAACCCCAAGTCCCTGGCAGCTAATGCAGCCATAGGAAAAAATACAAACACTTCTTAAAAAATAGATCACAAAATTTGGTGATTTTAATCTATTCATCTAACTTTTGACCAGAGGAACCCAAATAATTCCGGATATTTAGAGTCTGAATTGATGCCTTTTAAAGGGCATCACAAAACCTCTAGAGGGACTTCGTGTGTTCATTTCATCAAAGTCCCCACCCCACATTGCTATATTTTAGAAGAAAAGCACCTGAGGCACAGAGGTTTAGGAACTTGCCTAGAAACGCATGGTAACACAGCTAAGCCTTGGCCCACACTGTCATTTCTGAGTGGTACTCACCCCTTCTGCTTTAAGTTAGCACCATGTGAATAATCCGACTTCAGACATCATTGCCCCAATCTGATTCCCTCCTCCTAGGATGTGTGAGTATGTTGACCACCTGCACGAGCATTTCAAGTATCCCGTGATGATCCAGCGGGCTTCCTACATGCCTCCCAAGGTGAGCTGTGGCCTGGGGGCCCCTGCAGAGATGCTGCCAGCCACTACCATGCCTGTCTCGTGAACTAGACCATGGAGCACCAAGCTTTGACTCCTGTTTATTTGCAATATCCAGAAACAAACGGTTCTTCAGTTGTATCAAAATCCCCAGGCCTGAGGGCCAGGACTTGGAGGTTAAATTGCCTCTGACAAGGCTTCTGTAACACTAGCCTTTCCTCACCAGTGGAGATCTTAACATTTGCACTCCTTGTGCAAAAAAACCTGGCACCATCTAGCAAGTTAGTGACCTAAAAAGTTTTGACTACAATTGTGTGGTTAGGGCCGTTTATTCTGATCATGTTCAAGAGACCATGACTCATTTTCACCAACAGAGGTCAAACAATTATCAAAGAGTTTGATGAGTTAACTAACTCTGGCAAGCAGCCAGTAAAATGTGTTCCTCTGCCCTATTTCCAACAATCTCAGAACTTATTTTAAAAATATTAATTCGGGGCTGGGTGTGGTGGCTCACGCCTATAATCCCAACACTTTGGGATGCCAAGGCAGGTGGATCATTTGAGGTCACGTGTTCGAGACCAGCCTGGCCAATATGGTGAAACTCTGTCTCTACAAAAAAATACAAAAAATTAGCCAGGCATGGTGGCAGGTCCCTGTGATCCCAGCTACATGGGAGGCTGAGGCAGGAGAATCACTTGAACCTGGGAGGTGGAGGTTGCAGTGAGCCAAGATTGTGCCACTGTACTGCAGCCTGGGCAACTGATGGAGTGACTCCATCTCAAAAAATAATAAATAAATAAATAATTAATTACCTCTGGCTTAGACGTAAAAGCATTTCTTGGAGCAGCATAAATACATAAAATCTGTTTTTGTTCCAGGTGGTTGTTAACATGCCTCATTTTGTTTTGGTCTTTGATAGGATCCCGGCTACTCAACAGAAATGAAGGAGGACTCTGTAAAGAAACACCAGTATCCAGAGGGTGAAGTTTGGAAGAAACTCCTTGCTGCTCAAGAAAATTAAGTGCTCAGCCCCAACATCTTTTTCCTTTTTGAAGTGAAAAGGCTTCAAATTTCTTGGAAATAGTTTTACAGATATGGATTTTAAGAAATCCTACCAAGATTAGTTCAATGAAAAGTCATACCACCCTCAGGAATCAGCTAAGTAATTATTACTTGATTCTTTTAGCAAATCAATACACATTATCCTACTTAATACTTAAATAAGTCTAGATTTAACTAACCCAAAGTCCAGGAAGATGCTCTTACAAAATATCTATCCAGGGCTGGCACCTAGACATTAAACTGTGCTTTGAAAATAAGCAACATGTTGCATAACTTGTTGGAATAATTCTTTGTTCTACTTCACACTTGTCATAAATTAGCAAATAAAAATAGTCATGCCAACACCAGGGGGTATCTGGTACACAATGAAGGGAAAAAGATTTCACTGATTAACCCCGAAGTGGTTCTGCATCTTTTTCTTGCTTAATTATTAGAGAAATCACACCATGCTGAAGCTAATGAGGGCAAAATGGTAGTCCATAGACTATTTTAAAATAACCCTTTAAGGTTATAAGTTTAAAAAAAAAACCTCTATCCTAAATGGTCATTATATTTTGAGGATAAGATGCAGTTAAAATGAGAAAAATAGGGCAAAATATAGTCACTATTTCTAAAATCTACTCTTTTAAGTAGCATCCAAACCAGAATGCAGCACATGTTTAGTTAGGAGAGTTCTTTAAATCTATTTTAGGAAGGAACTGAGCAGGTACGTGGCACTACAGAATGAACAAAGCATGGACAAATGCAGAACACTTCTTTATTATAGCAACATATAAAACGACTGTAACTTTAAATGTTCATAACCACACTCTACATCATGATTGATGGTGTTACTCAGCTCCCTCAGATTTGAGGGAAGCTTGTGAAATTCTTAAAATTCACCAACCTTCTTTATAAGGATGTGGAATTGAAATGCATGCACGTGTTTTTGCTAAGACCACATACATTTCATTCTCCTTTGTTCATAATCTCAGCGTTTTCAGATACCCTCAGTGAGTTAACTCAAAGCCTTTTATTATGGAAAGAACTGGCAGAGTTATATTTGCCAGTGGCAACATCCTTAAAAATTAATAACTGATAGGCCACGGACAGATTTTTGACCTAGTTCCTTTCTTTTAGAGCAAAAAGAACTTTTACCTCTGCATCCAGCCCAACCTCTAGAGACTGACAATATCCTTCAAGCTCCTTTGAAGGCACCCTAAACAGCCATTTCCATTTTAATAGTCGGATGCGGATTGTACCCTTCAATCTGAAAGTCTTCAGCTTTGAAGTCATCAATTTTCTCAACTTTTCGAAGAATCTTGAGCTTTGGGAAAGGTCTGGGTTCTCGCTGAAGCTAAAAACAAAATAAGACCATTATTTTGCCATAATTGTACAACCTGTTGTAATTGCTCCTCATGTCCATGAAACAAGCACACAGGATGTGATCAACAGTTTTATTTTACAGGAGTATGATCCTGTCGATACCTTGTTGTAGGTTATGTAACAAGCAGCTTGGAGCGCTTGATTGGAGCGCAACCAGCTGTTTTCTTGCACAGATCAAGAGTGAAGGGTATTTTGTGACATTACACAGTGTCAGGAGCCTGGTGCCTCATTAGGTGTAAGTTCTTTTCATCACTCTTGGCAAATTTATTAAAGACAGAAACACAGTCAGTCTGTAACTCATAGTTAATCTAAGTTTACTTGAATTCCACAATCCCTAACCCATCTGTCCCTGGCAGAGAGGAGGAAAGATAACATGCATGAACAGTGAACAGAAAGGGATGAAAGCCAGGATTCCTGGGATGAACAGACAGTGGCAATTAGGATGTGAAGAAAAACGACTGGAGCAGAAAGCCAGAGAGAATAAGCCTAAAGTCACCCTCCACTCAAGAGCAGTCAAATTCCCTCAAAGGAGTAACTTTTAAAATCTGAATCTAACCTGGAAGGGGCTAAAAAGTCTCTGGTTCTGAGTTTTTTTCCTTAAGGCTTATGAAGCAGATGAACTTATATTTTTATTGCCATTTCAAATCAATTGTTGGCTGCTATAACTTAGGGATTTCAAAAGACTTCTGAAGTTTGGACCTAAATATTATACCTAATGTAAAATTAATGAAAAATATTTATGGCCAGGGTGGTGGCTTATGCCTGTAATTCCAGAACTTTCAGAGGCTGAGGCAGGCGGATCACCTGAAGTCAGGAGTTTGAGAACAGCCTGGCCAACATGACAAAACCCCATCTCTACTAATAACACAAAAATTAACTGGGTGTGGTGGCACACACCTGTAATCCCAGCTACTTGGGAGGCTGAGGCAGGAGAATTGCTTGAACCTGGGAGGCAGAGGTTGCAGTGAGCCAAAATTGCACCACTGCACACTCCAGCCTGGCTGACAGAGAAAGACTCCATCTCAAAAAAAAAAAAAAAAGGGAAAAACAATTGCACTTAATTCTCCTTCAAGTTAAAATGAGTTTAAATGCCCCCTTTTGGACAATCCCCTGGCCTGAATGTGGCTCTTCCCTCTCTGGTACTGGTGCTTAGTACCTCACAGCATCTGACATGTTAAGTGCCCATGGTTGCTGAGGCAGATGCCTGCCTTGTCCTGCCCAGTACTTCTCCCTAAACTGAAGCCCCGCATTCGGAGCAGCCATCTTTATCTTGGACACAGCATTGAGCAGATGCCTGTTCCACAATCAACCTTTTATCAAGAGAAGGTACCAAACCCAAAAGTATAACATCTAATTCTCACCTGAATTTTCAGTGGCTCGATGTGATTCAGGTAAATATGTGCATCTCCCAAAGTGTGTACAAAGTCACCTGGCTATAAACCCGGGGGAGAAAGCAGAACAGTATGTTAGTTTCAATTCCTTTAAAACATCATTTAAAAACATTAGAGTATGCAGACACCTCAAGGCTTTAAAAAAATAATAATTTAGTGTAGCTTTTCCATTTTTTTGTGGCAACAGGATCGTTATGTTGCCCAGGCTGGTATTGAACTCCAGACCTCAAGTAATTGTTCCTGCCTCAGTCTCCCAAAGTGCTGGGATTACAGGCATGAGCCACCACACCCAACCTCAGCATAGCTTTTGAGAAAATTCATAGAAGCCGTATCACAAACAACCTGTATAGATCTGTTAGTGCATATACCACAGGGCCAGAAAACCTTCCAGAAAAGGAAGGTTTCAAAGTAAAAGCCCATTCACATCTTACTTACACATATCCAATTTAAAAACTCATCAGAGACTAAACTCTCTGCAATTCGTCTTCCCGTATTAAAGAACTGAAGAGCTCAGTGTTAGGCTCGCAAGTCGCCCTTCCCGAGACAGCCCACCTTCAGGCCCGTGATGTGCGCAATCATGTACGTGAGCAGGGCGTAGCTGGCGATGTTGAAAGGCACACCTAGGCCCATGTCTCCCGATCTCTGGTACAGCTGGCAGGACAGCTCACTGTTCACCACATAGAACTGGCAGAGGGCATGGCATGGAGGCAGTGCCATCAGAGGAAGATCTGAGGAACCAGCACAGAGGAAGATAAGGAGGGGTGGTGGTTTAAAAGACCACAGCTAAAGGCCAAGTAAAACAGGAGAAAAACAAAAGCCAACTCATATGGTGGAGACCAGGAGAGCCACTGGGCTGCAGTGATGTCCATAACCCACAGCCCCTGCAGCAATGGCATGGACATGAGGGAGACTATCCATTGGCACAAGCTTTCTGCAGATGTCCGCTGAAGCAATGCTCTTTCATCAGAGCTGAAGGGATCTGGGCTACCTTCGTGGCACCAAATTACAAATACAGCAGGAATAATTCTATTTGCCACAGGGAACTGGTGCTTCTGGTACACCCTCCTATATTAAAAGTCTCTATTACATGGCCAGGCACAGTGGCTCATGTGTGTAATCCCAACACTGGGACGCCAGGGTGGGCAGATCACTTGAGGCCAACTTGAGTTCGAGAACAGCCTGGCCAACATAGTGAAACCCCGTTTCTACTAAAAATACAAAAATTCACAAGCCTGTGGTCCCAGCTACTCGGGGGCTGAGGAAGGGAACTCACTTGAACCTGGGATGTGGAGGCTGTGAGCTAAGATCACACCACTGTACTCCAGCCTAGGCAACAGAGTGAGACTGTGTCTTAAAAAAAAAGTCTTTATTACAGATGCAAATATTCCATCCTAAGTACTTATGATATCCTGATAGAGTTTGTTGTTGTTGTTCTTGTTTTTAAATATTCGGGGTCTCACTCTTGCCCAGGCTGGAGTGCAGTGGCATGATCATGATCATGACTCACTACAGCCTCAAATTCCTGGGTTCAACTCATCCTCTTGCCTTGGCCTCTGGAGTTGTTGGAATTACAAGTTTGAGCCACCACACCTGGCTCTACACCCTGGTAGAGCTGAATTTTACAGTATAATTGTTAAAAATGTTAGTGAGGTGGCAGCAACCTAGAACTTCATCGGCTTCCATTTAAAAATGTTAACATCTTACATGTAGTTTCTAGGCAATTTAAAGCCCTTTTCAGAGTAAGAATGAGTATAAATACACAAATTAAGATCATCTGGTTGGGAGGCCGAGGCAGGCAGATCACCTGAGGTCAGGAGTTCGAGACCAGCCTGACCAACATGGTGAAACCCCATCTCTCCTAAAAATACAAAATTAGCTGGGCGTGGTGGTGCATGCCTGTAATCCCAGCTACTCGGGAGGCAGAGCCAGGAGAATCATTTGAACTCGGGAGGCAGAGGTTGCAGTGAACCAAGATCACACCATTGCATTCCAGCCTGGACGACAGAGCAAAACTCTGTCTCAGGAAGAAAAAAAAAAAAAAAAAAAAGAAAAAAAAAATCATCTGGACCCAACCTCATGATCTGAAGGTGAAAGTGGAGCAAAATGTGACTTGCCCAAGGTCACACAACCAACCATGTGGCTGGGGGAAGTTCCCAGGGTCCTGCCTCCCTCAGGTGCCTCTGCACAAAACCACATTGCTTCCCTCTAAGAGTATGGTTAGTATAAATGAAGATGATGGGGTTCTTTCAACCTCTTGGATTCCAAGCACACATGATGATTCTTCTGTCGTCAGGGTTGGTTTTGATGGTGTCAATCACTCTTTGCAGTTGGTCAACTCCCTGTCCTGAATAATCTGTAGAATTGTCAAAAAGAGAGGACAGGTACACACATTAATCACACATGTCATGAGATGGCCTTAGAGGTCATCTATTACAGCCTCTCACCCAGGGTCCCCCCTTGACCCATGATACCTGGTGCATTCCATAAAGTTTGCAGATCTCGGTGGGTTGAGTTCAAGGCCCTGTCTGACTCCCGGCTCTGTCCTCTGGAGCCCTAACAAAGTCTATCTCCTCTTTTACACAGTCC